AGTGCCGAGCGCCACGAGCAAAACGGTTCGTCTGGGCCCTGCGGGCGGACGGCTGCAGCTGCTGGAAGCTGCCCGCGCGCCCTGGCTAGCGGATACACCCATATTGGGCGCCTAGCGGCCTCTAACCGCCGCCCCAGCCCAGTCCCTGGACATCTTTACCCCTAGGATGGGAATCTTCCGGCCTCACTGAAACCCTCTTAAACAACGTCCAAACTCTTAAAAGCCTTGACGGGCGGAGCTAGGACCTGCCCTAGGACCCTGCCCCATTCCCTTTCCGGAAAGTCTCCACCTCCGAGTCGGGGATCCTGGAAAACACCTGATCTCCAACCACGAGAATCCCTCCAGTATCATCCTGGTATCCAGCCGTCCCCCGACGGTGCTGTTCCGCAGACCTAGGGGACCCCACACGGCCGGCACCACATTTCAATCACCGCCTGTTTCTCTCTCCGATTGTCCCCAGCTGTTCCTTGACAGTTGGGTGGGGCTAGAATCCGACCATTGCCCCGCCCCCAACCTGGCACCCGCCCCCTCCTGCCCACTTAGGGAGAGGGGGCAGGCTTCTAACGACAGCCTTGCAGGGCCAGTGCCCAGACGTAGCCCTAATGTTGCAAATCCTTACTTAAGGCAAGGCTTCCAGGATCTTCCCAATCACTCCTTAACCGCCACCCCTCTGTCTCACAGTTATTCACTGAAAGACTGGTCATAGCTCTCCCTCCCAAGGACAAGGCCAGGGCAGTGCCAAACCTGCCTCCTCTCATCCGTAGGCTGACTCCTTATACCCCAGTGCTTCCTGCACCCCTAACCATCCTCAGAGCCAGCTCTGTCTCGCAGTCACCCCTGAGACACCACAAGCCAGGTGTGGGTGAGCTGAACGCCTGGGGGGCAGCCTTTAGCAGAAGCAAGAAGCCTGAGGTCAAGTCCCCACTCTGCCCCTCCCTGAGATGTCCCCTCACCCAGCCGCTGTCCTCTCTGAACCTCCAAGGAGAGGGAGCTTTGATGCCCCACCCTCCCCTTTGCAGGCTCATGAGTGCCCTTCAAGTGGGCTTGTGAATGGGTCTGACTGAGCCCAGAGTACAGGTCTAGGTAGGACCCCAGCAGCTGCAAGTAGGAATAGTACCAAAGGGACCGGGTGTGGTGGCTTACACCTGTAATCCCAGCACTCTGGGAGGCCAAGAGGGGTGGATCACTTGAGGTCAGGAGTTCGAGACCAGCCTGGCCAACATGGTGAAACCCCATCTCTACTAAAAATACAAAAATTAGCCAGGCATGGTGGTACACGCCTGTAATCCCAGCTACTCGGGAGGCTGAGGCAGGAGAATCACTTGAACCCCAGAGGCGGAGGTTGCAGTGAGCCAAGATTGTGCCACTGCACTCCAGCCTGGGTGGCAGAGTGAGACTTTGTCTCAAAAAAAAAGAAAATAAAATCTGGCCTGTAGGCTGGGCACGTTAGCTCACGCCTGTAATCCTGGCACTTTGAGGGGCTGAGGTAGGCGGATCACTTGAAGGCAGGAGTTTTGAGACCAGCCTGGCCGACATGGTGAAAACCTGTCTCTACTAAAAATACAAAAGTTATCTGGTCATGGTGATGGGCACCTGTAATCCCAGCACTCTGGGAGGCCAAGAGGGGTGGATCACTTGAGGTCAGGAGTTTGAGACCAGCCTGGCCAACATGGTGAAACCCCGTCTCTACTAAAAATACAAAAATTAGCCAGGCATGGTGGCGCGCACCTACAATCCCAGCTACTCGGCAGCAGAACTGCTAGAACCTGGGAGTTGGAGGTTGCAATGACTGAGATTGCACCACTGCATTCCAGCCTGGGTGGCAGAGTGAGACTTTGTCTCAAAAAAAAAGAAAATAAAATCTGGCCTGTAGGCTGGGCACGTTAGCTCACGCCTGTAATCCTGGCACTTTGAGGGGCTGAGGTAGGCGGATCACTTGAAGGCAGGAGTTTTGAGACCAGCCTGGCCAACATGGTGAAACCCCATCTCTACTAAAAATACAAAAATTAGCCAGGCATGGTGGTACACGCCTGTAATCCCAGCTACTCGGCAGCAGAACTGCTAGAACCTGGGAGTTGGAGGTTGCAATGACTGAGATTGCACCACTGCATTCCAGCCTGGGTGGCAGAGTGAGACTTTGTCTCAAAAAAAAAGAAAATAAAATCTGGCCTGTAGGCTGGGCACGTTAGCTCACGCCTGTAATCCTGGCACTTTGAGGGGCTGAGGTAGGCGGATCACTTGAAGGCAGGAGTTTTGAGACCAGCCTGGCCGACATGGTGAAAACCTGTCTCTACTAAAAATACAAAAGTTATCTGGTCATGGTGATGGGCACCTGTAATCCCAGCTACTCGGGAGGCTGAGGCAGGAGAATCACTTGAACCCCAGAGGCGGAGGTTGCAGTGAGCCAAGATTGCGCCATTCAAACAAAAAAAAAAAAAGAAAAAAAAGAAAATCTAGACTCTAGATCTGCACTATCCAATAGGATCCCCAGTAGCCTGATACTAGCTTCATTTCAACTTCTGAACAGCCATACATGACCAATGGTGTCCCTGTAAGACCGTGCAGATATCTAGAGAACATTTCCAGGCATCATCTTAGCAAGTTCTATGTAACAATGCGTCTCAAGATAGAAGATGTCATTAACAGCAAAGAATCTGGGGCCCGACTGCCTGGGTTTCAAATCCCTGTTTCACCCTTTCCAGCTGTGTGACCTCGAGCAGGTGAAACTCTCTGTGCCTCAATTTCCTCATCTGTAAAGTGGAAGAAATAATAACCCTGCCTTATAGGATTGTTGTGAGGATGTAAATGAGTTCATGTTTGTAAAGTGCTTAGAACGATGTCTGGCTCCCAGTAAAAGCTCAGGAAGCATTTGTCAAAGTCACTGGCAGGAAAGATAGGGAAAAACTGGATCCAGAAAGAGACCTGGCCCAGATCCTGAGTGAAACAGAAAGGACACCTAAATAGCAGGTTGGTTGTAAGGAGAGTCATCAACATACTTTGTAAAGTGACTCAAAATGCTTCCAGGAAAGCTGAGTGGTGCCCCTCCAGCCCCGCCCCTCCAATGCTCTGGGCCCCTGGGAAGGATAGGGCTCCAGCACAGCCCGTCCCCTCCCCTTACCATCTCCATAGGCTGGCTCAGGGTCCTCAGCCCAGGTGGGTGGAAAGGGCACCGTGAGAGGTAAGCGGGGCCGACGGGAGGTCAGGAAGCTGCCAGGCGGACCCCCAGGCTCTCGGCCCAGGGGGCTGGGGGGCTGCTCAGCGGCAGAGGTGGCCAGCAGCTCCTGCAGGATGTTGATGGGCGAGACAGTGAGCTCCCAGTTGGTGATACCGAAGTCACGTAGGTGGGCCCGGGCGTGGCTGGAGAGGCCGGCCCGTGTGTCGAAGCCAGCCCCGCAGAAGTCACAGCGCATCAGGCTGAAGGTGCCTGGGTCAAAGTTGGCCACTGTGGAGAGAGGACAGGACTGCCTGAGGTGGGGAGGGGCTACTCCCCAGCCCCAACCCCTCCCCATACTCAGGGCTTCACCCTGGACTGTTTGTCTCCCCCGTGGCTGTCCCTTTTGCTCCTGCCTGCCCCTCAGCTCTCAGCTCGTGTATCCTCCCACCCCATTCCAGGAAGCCTAACCCTCCCAGATACCTCCTTCCCACATCTGGCAACATCAAGGAGGGACCTCTCCTGCAAAAACCCTTCTCCAGGGCCAGGTGCGGTGGCTCACGCCTGTAATCCCAGCTCTTTGGGAGGCCAGGCAGGAAGATCTCTTGAGCCCAGGAGTTTGACACCAGCCTGGGCAACATAGTGAGACCCCATCTCAATTAAAAAAAAAAAAATAGCTGGGCATAGTGGTGCGTGCCTGTAGTCCCAGCTACTTGAGAGGCTAAGGTGGGAGAATTGCTTGAGCTCAGGGGTTTGAGGCTGCAGTGAGCTATAATTGCCTCATGGCACTCCAGCCTGGGCAACAGAGCAAGACCCTGTTCCTTAAAAAAAGAAAGAAAGAAAAAGAAATGCTTCTCTAGTTGTAGACTTGCCATCCTCTGTGAGAGTATTTGATTAATAGCCTTCTTGTGACTATTTTTACTCATGATCACCCAAGTGCTGTAAATTAAATATTTGTTGGATGAAGAAATGGACAAATGGATGTAATGCCCTCTGCTGGGAGCCTTCTCTGAGCCCTGCAACTGGAGTTAGGGACTTTGTCTCAGCTTCCCCAGCCTCCTGGTTGCCCCAGCTTTCCCCGCATCTCAGCCCTGTTCAGTCAGCGTCATCACTGCCGGGTTTCCTAGTTGTCCACCCCTTGCCCCCTACCCCTAGTGCGTAGACACACATACACACACACAGACACAGACACAGACACACACACACACACACACACACTCGCTCTCTCTCTCTCTCTCATATACCATACTGGCACTTCCCCAAGTGGGCTGTGTGTCTGCCAATGTCAGAACCACCCAGAGTGCTCCTGCTGGAGACAGACTTCGGGAATCAGAGCCTCGTACCGTGGGAATTGACAGACCTTACAGGCAGCCTCAGGGGGTTCTGAAGCTGGCCAGGGTGGGATGGAGGGGGTCCCACCACTCCTGGACTGGACCATGAACTCCGAGAGTCCAAGAACTGCTATTCTGTCCACTGCTGTGTCCCCAGGTCCCCAGAACAGAGGGGAACCTTGCTCAGTAAATATTTGTTGAATGGAGGAATGAATGAAATTCTCTGCCCGAGGCTGACTCTTCTACCCACACTCCTTCCTCCAGTGGCTGGAATGGCCAGGGCACTGGGGAGTCTCCACACATCCACCGACGGGTGGCCTTTACTGCAGCTCCCAAGTCTCTCAGGAGCAGAGGCCCCAGTGTCCCCCTGCTTGGCGCTAAGGGAGAGAATTTAGATCAAGGGTAGGTTGCCCAGCCATGGGTCTCCTGGGCCTTTTAAAGTGAAGCTGCCCTACCTTTTTTCTTCTTCTTCTGGAAGGAGAACCTGCGCTCAATGGCCTTCACCTCCTCAGCGGAGATGAAATGGCGCACATTGTAGCTGACGCCCACGCGGTTCAGGTGGCCCCGGACGTGGTTGGCCAAGCCGATGCCGTTGTGGAAGCGATCGGGGCAGTAGGGGCATTTCCGTTCCTCGTGCTTCAGTGCCATGGCTGGGTCCCCATCCAGGAGTGTGTCCAACCCCAGCGGGCCGCCCAGAGGCGCGTCCAGGAGCAGGAAGTCCAGCGGGTGTGCGCCTGCCAGCCCCAGCTCCTCGGGCTGCAGCCTCGGGGGCACCCTGGCCGCCGCCATGACCTGCGGCCCCAGCTTTGCCACCAGCACAATGGGTACCATCCCTCGGAGCTGCTGCTGCTGCCCCTGGGTGGCCTCTGCTGCCTGCAGGGCCTCTCGGAATGTCCGCTTCAGCTCCAGGGCAGGCTGTGGGATGAGGCTGAGGGTGGCTAGGGGTGAAAAGACCCCATTTTCAGGGGAAAAATCCATCTCAGAGGTCAGCACCACATCTTCCTCTTCCTCCTCCTCCTCCTCCTCCTCTTCACTCCAAGGGCGCCTCCGTTCCCCCAGCCCTTGTGGGTGGACGGTGCTTTTGTTTCTCCCGAGCTGTAAGGAGTAGGGGGTGGATGCTAGTGTGGAGGGAAAGGCCAGCCTTCCAAGAGGCCTCTGGCCCACGCGATGCGGGAGTGGTTTTGACAGCGGGAAATCTCTGATGCTCAGCTGCTGGCATCCTGGGCCAAAGGCCAGGCTGGGGTCGTATCCAGCAGGGTTCTCCCGCCACATGGGAGCCAAGGACGGCTCAGCTTTGCCAAAGTAGTCCACAGCAGTGTCAGGGAAGCAGGCGTGAGCATCCTGGCTAGTGCCCGGCTGGCTGGCAGGGTCCTCCTCATAAGCCTCGCCATCCTCCTCCCAGTGGGGACGGGCGTGCACCAGCCTCACGTGCTCCCTGAGCAGGCTCTCGCTGGGCGCCGGGAAACCACAGAAGACGCAGGCGCTGAGGCTGACGGCAGCTCCGTAGGGCTGATAGAGGAGGGCGCTGGCCTCAGGGCTGGGGCTGCCAGCCCCACTGCTGCCTCCAAAAGGCTCCTTGGCGGTCTGGCCTGGGGGCTCACGCACATGAAGCTTGGCGTGCTGCACATAAGCCCTGGAGGAATTGGTGCCAAAGACACACTTGGGGCACTGCAGCCGTGCCTCCCGGCCCTCGTCCCCTGGAACTTGCTTCAGCTTTTGGATCTCCTCAATGATCTTCTCCCGGGAGGCCTGGTGCAGCTGCCGGTGCTGCTCCAGAGCGGCAGGGTCGGCAAAGGCCCAGCCACACTCACCGCAGGCCAGCGGGGCCAGGTCCGCAGGGGGCTCCTGGCCTGGGGCTCGGCGGTGCTGGCTCATGTGCTCCAGGAGGTGCTCCTTCTGCTTGAAGTAGATGCTGCACTCGATACATGGGAACACGGCCGGCTCCTCGTCCTCGTCCTCTTCTGGGCTGGCCACCCCTTCGGCCACCTCCTCCAGCAGCTCACACAGGTAGGGCCCGGTCCGGATGGGAGGCAGTAGCGGCTGCAGCCGCTCCACAGACGCCTCCGAGTTCACCGTCCAGGTCTGTGTGGCCACCTCCGAGGCTGACGTGGGTAGGCCCCACTCCGACGACTGGGCCAGCCCCTCCAGGTCCTCCAGGTCTTCTCTGCCACCCACCACCGCCATGTCCAGCATCTTCGGGGTGTCTTCCACTGGCACAAACACCCTTCTGAAGGGGGCGAGGGGTGGCGGCTGGGCAGGCAGGTCCAAGTGCAGCCCTGCATCCTGGGGGGATCCCTGCTCGTCCTCATCTTGGAGCCAGTTGAACCTGGGGCGACCCTGGGGGTGTTTCTCCAAAAGCCTTGGTTCCCCCCGGTGGTGCAAGAACCTTCTAGAGCCCTCTAGCTCAGCGTGGGGGTTCATGGTTCTCACAATGACCGAGTCCTCGAATCTCCGCTCAGACAGGATGCCCTCCCCAGCCTCCTGGACAAGGGGGTGCTCCCAGGGTCCCCGGCCATCAGGGGTGCCTGGGAAATGGCCCAGGAGATGGGGTGGTGGGGAGCCCGGCCGGAAGTCCAGGCTGCCTCCATCCCAGCAGCTGCAAGGAAGTGCCAATGGGGACAGGTTAGCCATGGGCTGCAGTTTTCCTTCCTAGGGTGGTGATGGGGGTCCTCACAGGCAGTTTGAAGCAGGCCCCAGAGATCCAGCCCGAGGGCGACAGGGGTGTGGGGGTGAGGGTGGGAGGTAGGGGGAGTCCATGTGGATCCTTTCGGACCTATCGGGTCAAAAGCCAGGTTCAACTCTTAGGATGCACCTGTCCACAAAGCCTAGCCCTGCTGCATTGTCGGGGAATATGCGGAGACCACCCCTGGACCACACGGGGATGTGGCCACCTCTAAGAAGTCTGGTGGCAACAGTTAACTCTCATCTCTCCCCAGGAAGGACCCAAGCCTCTCATCTATGCTCCAGGCTGCTTCTGTCTTGGTCTTCCCCAAACTGGGGTGATTTTGCTAATTTAGTTTCACCTCTCCCTCAGATTTGGTGAAAGTTAACTTTGTGGTGGAACAGTTCAAAGGAATGTTCCTTTTCCCTGCATCTCCCCATCTGGAAGGGCAGAGTCAGGAGAGGTGGAAGGTCCCTGCTAAGCCTTTGGTCCCAGTGATTCTGACCTTCCTAGGCAGAGGGGTGGGAGTGGGGTTGGGGGAGGCAGGGTAACCTCTCTGGGCCTCAGTTTTCCAATCCTAAAAATGGGGGTAATTCCCAAGAACTGGGAACCCCTTTGTCCTTATACAACATCTGTGGAGCTTTCTCATAGCCACCATCAACAAAAGGTGCTTGCAACATAAGGCAGGTGCTTATTTAAATGCTCACAACCACAACCTTTCAACGACCCCACAGGCTGTAGGGTGAAGATGACACAACTCAGTGCTTGAGAAATGCTTTGTTTCACCTCATGCCTGGACCAGTGTGGGTTCTTATTATGGCCATTTGTGATCGGTTCTCCCTTCCTTTTCAAGATCCTGCCTCCATCAGGGGATGCCAATCACGCTCATGGAACAGATGTGGAAAAAGTTCCATTCAGATGTTGGGTGGAGACCATAAGGTCACCTTTCTCAGCTCCATCGCTGACATGCGATACTAACAGGACCATCCTCCTGGGGCTGTGGCAAGGACTCAGTGGGGATAAACACATGTTCAGAGTGTAGCTCATAGCAGCTATTATTAATTAATTAATAATGGTATTGTTCATTCTGAGAGCTATTAGTAATCCTGATAAGCTTACTAGGACCTGGCCAGGCGCGGTGGCTCACGCCTGTAATCCCAGCTCTTTGGGAGGCTGAGATGGGTGGATCACCTGAGGTCAGGAGTTCTCGACCAGCCTGGCCAATATGGTGAAACCCCATCTCTACTAAAAATACAAAAACTATCCAGGCATGGTGGCGGGCACCTATAATCCCAGCTACTGGGGAGGCTGAGGCAGGAGAATTACTTGAACCCAGGAGGTGGAGGTTGCAGTGAGCTGAGATCACGCTATTGCACTTCAGCCTGGGCGATAGAGTGAGACTCTCTAAAAA